AACTTTTGTCATTTAGCCTGTAGTAAACCATATTTTTAATAACATACACTTTCTAACCCATAAATGGCTAAAATGAGTAACATTGTTTGTTAATGGGAAAAGTGAACACTTCTAGCTCAGGACTGAATGTCCTCCACAAGAATTTACTTAAATTTTTAAAAACTCAATTTAAAACCTAATTATAATGTTTATCTTTAACACATATTTTAGAAATAATGCAATTATTATTTTGAATAAATTATTGATTGAATGCATGTATATATTTTCAATAGATAACAGCAATTTTATAAACTATAATAATATACAGTATCAATAAACTTATTGCTATCAAATTGACTAAAATTCCATCAATAAAGGTTTTATTCGTTTAAATACATTTATAACTTATAAAATTTAATACTATAAAATTATTTAATAATAGGATTAGTTGTCGAGATTCTTAAAATTGTTTAATTACAATTAAAAGTTCAATTAAAATTTTAATGTAATTTTGGAGGATCAAAATTTTTGAAACCTATATGTTGGAGATTATAGCATCACATAATTTTAATTATGTTATAATTTAAATTCTCCCAAGAAAATCACTAAATATCAGAAAAATATAAGATTATTTAAAAATATTGTTAAATTAAATGAAGATAAAATTTTAATATTTAAAATAATAATTTAATTTATGTCCTCCAATTCTCCTCCAAAAAATGTCTAAATTTCCTATATGTCCTCCAATCTCGAAAAAAGTGTTGGCAACACTAGTTACTGGTGTTAGTGGGGTCAGGTATGCCAAATCATATGCTAATACTATGCAATCATAACGAAATAAATGTAAAAAGTTTAATTAACTAGGCAAATTTATTAAATGATTTTAATCGATATTTTAAATAGAGTATTTTAAACTAAAATTAAGCTAAAAATGAAATCGAATACATATCCTTATATTACATTTATCTGAATTTAATGTTGCATGATTTACACAAAAATAATAATTGCATTATGATTACATATTCCCTGGTAAATTTAAACACCCTCTTTATTTTTATAAAATGCTACCACATCTGTACAAGTTAATTTAATGAAAAAAGTTCATGTCAATGTTTTGAAAATTTATAATAAATTTGAAATATATGTTCAATAATACAAATATGTAAATTAAGTGACGAAAAACTACGAAAATATTATTTAGCTTTATACATTAAATAATCGTAAAAGAATTTGTTATTATTATACTCAAGAGCGCTTAACAATACTTGAATCGATTCTATATGGTGCTCATTTTTAGTGTGTAACAAATTATTAACATTTCTCTTAATATCCTTATCGTTAATAATTTTCAAGAGCTCCGAGCAGCTTGGCCGATCATTATAGAGATAGTTAACCATGGTACTAATAGCATTTACCAAACGTTTCATAGGTTCTATGAGGTTTGTTTTCTTATATTTTCCGAGTGGATCATCACTATGGACAATAAATTATTGTTTAATTAATTATCGCAAATAAGTGATAAATAGGATCACCCCATAAAACAAAGTTGCATATAAAATATTAAATATACAGTATAATTGAGTTTTAAAAAAGAGTATTTGTATGTCCTATTGTACAAATTGAACTTAATGGGACACATCGTTAGCTGCAGTAAAATTTACAAAGATAATCAGTATTAACGCAAACCATATGACCGTATGGATTATTTGAATTTATTAAATTTGACCAATATTACCAACTAATTTAGTTTATTTAATTATAATTAATGTGTGACATAATGATTTTATACATGAAATAGCATTATTCCTATGGACGACCATTCACAAACACTTTGACGGCAATAATTTTCCGTAAGCCTAACATCACTTGTATGAAATCTGACGGGTCATTACCGTAAAAGTGTTTATGGAATGTCGTCCATATTACTAATGCTAATTCATGGGTAAAATGACAATGTTACCCATTGATTATAATTAAATAAACTAGATTAGTTGGTGATATGGGTCAAATTTGATCAATTCAAATAATCGATATGGTTATATAGTTTGGGTTAATATTGATTACACTTGTACAATTTACTGACACCTAATGATGTGTCCAATTTAATAGAAATATAACTTTAAACAATTGAATATTCATAATAATTAATGTACTAAATGTTCATGTCTTTTAATTTACAGTTTATAATTAAACTCATTTAGTATGTTATTTAAAGAATCAATTCATATCGTATATGAGATCAGAGAATACTCAAAAGGTATTATACTTTAAATTCGTATGATGCGTTAGGTACGAAAGGGTTTTAAAGTCAATCCCCCTATGAAACAGTACTTATTTTTAAGGGATTTACAAAAACATAAATATAAATTATGAAAGAAAGTATAATACAGTTTTTGTAGTTTATGGTCCCATATTAATTGCAACGTGCATAAAACCGGTATGTATTTTTCAATGCAAATGAGTACGTAACAAGTATTTTCAAACGTGATAATATGAACGCAATGATAATTTTGTGTATACTGTTTGTATTAAAGAAATACCGGTGTTAAGCAAGAAACAGATCATCTACTGAATATATAATAAAATCAAACGTACGATATTTCCAAATCAAACACTTGCTCTGCGATAATACCCAGGCTATATATATCCGCAGTTACCGTATATTTTGAGGCATACATTTCGGGCGATTTATAGCGAAAGGATCCGATATCGTTGGTGTGGCTCATGGAGTCCTCGTGAACGGTAGCCAAACCGAAATCGCATAATTTAATAAACCTACCGTTCCTTACATTATGCGCGATCAGTATATTGTCGGGTTTGAGGTCTCTGTGAATGATTTTGGGATCCAAACCATGTAAATATTGAACACATTCCAGAATTTCCCGGAATATTCCGTATGATATGAAATACTCAAACAAATTTAGCGGTTGTCCTGGTTGCCTAGCAAACACGTGTGGTTTGTCTAGCAATATATTCTTGAGACTTTGCGAACAGTACTCCATCGATATGAATATGATGTTGCCTTCGGCCCACGAGTTGTAGTATAGGACAACGTAATCGGATTGTAATTTAACCAGATTTTCTAATTCATTAACTTTTTTTATTTGGCAGGTATTCTTGATATCTATATTTGATAGAATTTGTTTAATTTGTAATCGCAAAAATATGCTACTAATACACAAACTCTGTTTATTTTGGCAAACTTAAAAGAAGCATCTCCATGTTTGTATTTTGAGTAATTAATAATGTTAAAACTATAGCTAACTAGCATCTATATGAGAAATTAAAAATATTGATATCCAACAATTAATAATGTTATTGTTACTATCTAACCAATTTAGCAAATTAGTTTTATCATGACGTTATGCTTTATAGCTACGATTATCAAAAAAAGTCAATCCGAGCAACAATAGCAGTTACAAAACTGACATTTTAACATTAATTCCAATACTAATTTTAAAAGGTCAATTTTTTCTGTGGCTTGTGTTGCCCGGATTTTCAAGTTACAATTCAATAATCGTAGCTATATTGCATAGAGGTAAAAGATTTTAGAATTTTAACATTTAATAATATAATTTCAATACACCAGAATACAAATGTTTTGTAGTTTATGCTTAATAGGCCATAGTTTTAAAGGGGACTGACTTATATGTATCCCGGGAATCCAGGCATCCTCAAAGCGAGAGAGCTAGTTTTATATTTAATTAGAAATAAATATTATATTTTTATTAATTTTTTATAAAGATGTTTAAATATGTTATATAGTTAAATCAATTAAAAATTTAATATTTGAAATTCAAAACAAATATTAATAGCTCTCTCTCTTCCAGGACCACAAAATTTGGAGAGAGAGAGAGAGAGAGAGAGTTATTTAAATGTCATTATAATTATAATTAGTAAAATATTAATTGATTGAGTTATAATATATTTAAACATCTTTATAAAAAATTAATAAAAATTTAATATTTACTACTAATTAAATTTATAACTAGCTCTCTCGCTTTAGGGATGCCTCGGATGCCCGGATGACTGGGGTGCATATAAGTCAATCCCGTTTTAAAGTTCTGTTTGACAATTGGACCACACCATGCAGAATAAGCCTTAATAGTAAACAGCATGTACTGTATACATGCATGTACAATGCTATTATATGGGCTAGTGCTATGATTACAGCTCGAAATTTTAGTACAGTAGTAAATCACCGGACAGCCCGGAGTACTCTTAAGGATTATTCTACAAATAGCAGTCCAATTATATTAATGCAACGTTGGTGTCATCATATTATTTTAAAACTTATTGAAAGTTATTTATTTTAAAATATAATATAATGTTATTCATACCATTAATAACGACCTTTTTTATTGCATAATAACACTTATCGAATTTATGAAACACTTTATATACTACACCAAAACTGCCTTGCCCAAGTTTCTCTAACTCTTTATAGGTTTTCAAATAATGAACTTCGCAAGTATTGTCCAGTACATTTACTATATTACAAAATATCAAAATAATACAGAACGTAAGTTAATATTAAATAAGCAATGACATTTACTTGATAGTTGGGTTGACTTTTGATCAAAGTATCTACTTTTCAGTTTATTTTCCTGTGAATCGTAATACAGATATAGCGAAAATATTAAACCGGCATTGTTAATTTGAATTGTATCAAAAGTAGAGTTGTATTCGTTGCAAAAGTAGTCGAATATGTTGTCATAATTTGTCTCTAAAAATGTATCTTCGACAAAATTATAAATAATTTTATCGGCCATGATGGCACCACCAGCAAATAATTCTATGCTACCGGTAACGTCCTTGATGATACTCTGTGGGATATACTGGTGTTTGGAGCCTACTTTACCGCAATACCAAACTTCCTTGGTGTTCGTCAGAAAGTACGTGTTAAAAAAGTACGTACATATTGCCTGCACGTTTGTGACATTAATTAATGTAGGTTGATTGAAATTTTCCTTAGTGTATTCGTGGCCTAGTGTATGATATCCCGAGTAACCCCAACTATACGCGTGTCCATCTATGGTTAACGCAAAAGTGGCGTACCTTGAACAACTTACCCATTTGATTAATGACGATGTTTTGAACTCTATCAATCTTGGTGTTAAAATCGCTAATTCGTGTTCACTATCAACACCAACTTGCCCAAAAACATTATGACCCCACCCATATACCTCTCCATTGGCAGTGAGCGCCATACAGTGGTGACCGCCACAACTAACATGCTCAATATTTTTATCATCGAAAAAATATATCCTTTGTGGTTCACAATAATTGGAGCAAGCAACACCATGACCCAATTGCCCGTAAAGATTACCGCCGTACGAGTATAAAAGCTTGTCATCCCCCATTGCCATCATAAACTCGTCGCCAGCGCCAAATTGAATAATGTTTTTGCCATATAGTTTAGTCAGGTGCTTTATCTCGTTTTGATTTTTATTATATATTTTGGATATAATATCGCCCATACCGTAAACATGATCGTTTTTAGTTTTAAACGCGATATTAAAATATTTGTTGCATATGCCAACCTTCTCGCATATGCCTACCGGCTTTTCGTAAATATACAATGTATTTATATCATGCGTTAAAGTAGCTGGTACGCAATTTAAAATATTAAATTTATCAATCACTTTTGAAGACATAATTGAAAATTTTGAATGTTAAAATAATATATATTATTCGTCTAACATAATTTTAGTTAAATAAATTCAACTAGTCGTTGGATTTTTAGTTTATAAAAAAAGGTCGTTGAAATGGTATTTAACGAAATTATCTAAATTTTTAGATAAATGTTATGGAAACTAAATATTATTTTCAATATATTATCTATTAAACTTCTATATGTAATAAGATTTTCATAAAATATTTCATTTAAGCTATAGAAACTCAAGTAATATTAAATCTATTTATCAAAAAACAGATTATAGTTGTAAATTTGACAAGTACAATTAAAATAAATCCATTATAATTAATAAATAAAATTTTAAAATATAACTTAATTTAATTTATTAAAATATCCTTAAGAATTCAAACATTATAAAATTTTTAACGTTAACATGTTGTTAATTAAAATTCAATAGAGTAGACTAATTTTTACTAAAAAATATAAAAGGTTATGTTTATCTAATTTCTATTATCAAAATGAGTAGGATAACTTTGACATCTAAATACTATTTACTTAAAACACTAGAAAATAGATTATATTCTTAACATGTTTAATTTCCATTTAATTTTTAATTTAACCTGTTTTAAAATTGTAAATATTTATTTAAATGTTAAAAATTACTATTATTAATTAAAAAAATTATGTATTTCTAAATATATTATAAAAGTTATTTTAGTGAAAATTTGTGATGTTATTTTGCAATTTCCTTTATTGTATATTATTTTCATTATCTAAAAGAGGATTACTATTATAATACTAGTCAATATTTCACCTTTGAAACTTTGATTTTTCAAGTGTTTTCAAATAGATATATTATACAATTCCTATAAATTCATATATATTCTATAATTCATAAATAGATATACATATGAAAAGTCCAATTCTGAAATGAAGTAAACGTGCAAGTAAACTGTAAACTG